GGCTTATTTAGTTGTTAAATTTTGGTGCAAATTTCGTAAGCTTTTCTTGATGTTGTTTGATTTGGTTTTCATGTGAACTGCATATTTTTTAGGCTTGTCGCATTTTATTTTACTTTGGTTTCTGGTTCTGGAGTATTTTAGGACGATGAGTTTTGAGACTGTTTTTTTTTTTACATTCTAGGATTTCTCCGCCTGTATAAATGAATGATAATTCTGAAACAGTTCACACAAATTTTGCAAGGCTCTGCTGTTATCCTAGGCTCTCATACCAGATTACCGCTTATTGTTGTTGGATAAACTCCAATCATCATCAATAATTTATAAGTTCTAGTTTGATTATATTTTTGTAGAATATTCATGGATCTACAAAATATTATAACTTTTTTCCACGGAATCACTTTGACAAAGGTAGCCCCAACAAGCATTCCTTACACGTTCTCCATGCATGCCGTAATCTTGATTCCCTGCAAATACCTGAAATTACAAGTGGACACAGTTTCAGCAAGTTTGTGTTCTGGACACCCGTGCGTACAACACTGTTATTGATGGATTCTGCAAGTCAGGTAAGGTGAGCAAAGCTTACCAGCTGCTGGAGGGAAATGAAGACAAAGGTCACCACCCCACTGTTGATACCTATGGTTCTGTCCTTGACGCCAGTTGACGGGCTTGCTAAAATCGACAGGCTTGATGAAGCTAATTACATGCTTTTCGAAGAGGCAAAATCAAAAGGCATAGAATTATATATATATATATATAGTAGTCTCATTGTCATTGATGGTTTCTGGTAATTTGGTAGAATTGATGAAGCATATCTAATCATGGAAGAGTTGATGCAGAAAGGTTTGACACCTAATGTATACACATGGAATTGCTTGCTTGATGCCCTGGTAAAAGCAGAGGAAATCAATGAAGCCCTTGTCTGCTTTCAGTCCATGAAAGACTTGAAATGCACCGCCAACCATGTAAGGTTAGAAATGGTCTTTGCAAGGTTAGAAAATTCAACAAGGCCTTTGTGTTTTGGTAAGAGATGCAAAAGCAAGGTTAAAAACCCAATACCAGTTTTGCATGGCTCCTGTGTTAGTGACTTTTATTAAATCATTCATCGGTTTTAAATTTTTCTCAAATTTTGATTTGACCAATGCAGAAATTATGGCCCGTTCATTATTCTAATAGTTTTTAAAATAATCTTTGAAAAAAAAAATTAAATTAGACAAGTATTACGATATAGGATTTAAAAATTAATAAAAATATCTCTTATATTTGTTTATTTACTAAATACCCCTATAATAAAATATTAAAAGTTAACAAAAACACCTCCAACCCTCTCATTAAATATGGATAATCGGCCACCACCGCCGAAGTGTGGCAGGAGTATTTTTGCAATTTCTAAAAAAAATATTTGGAGGTATTTAGTTAAATTAACAAATTTAGGAGATTTAAAATAAATTAAAAAATATAGAATAATATTTTGGGAATAATGACATTTGACTGTTTAACTTTTTTGGGAATACTAATAATAGTATTCCCAAAAGCGAACCAAACGAACCCTATTGTTGTTGGATAAACTCCGATCATCATCATATAATTTATGAGGTCCAGTTTTATTATATTTTTGTAGAATAGTAATGTATATACAAAATATTATAACTTTTCTTTCTTATGTTACAATATTATTCAACCTTATTAATTGTCACTTGATACATAATATTTTGCATATAATTATAGCCCTTTGAGTTTTTTAATTGAATAACAAAATCCTTCTAAGATTTTTAATATAAATAAAATCCATCTATCATATATGTTGAAATATCAGTAAAAGAGTGATTATAATAAATAAATTATAAATTCATGATAGTATAAGTTCTAACAACTTAACAACATTAAGAAAATTTGTCATTTTAAAAATTTAGAATTTTTTTTTTGTTAATGAACAAAAAGGTAGATGTCTTTTTTAACTCTAAATTAAGGTGCGTTTGTTTCAATATTTTTGTACTATTCTATCCCTATCTTACCGAAAATACATATTTGTTTCTCTATTCTTAAAATCCTATTATATTTTATAAATTTTTTAAACCCTCTAGGTTTATTAATTTAACTAAACACCCCCCAAAAAAGTTTAGAAATTGCCAAAAACACCCCCATCCACCCACCCACCCACATTTGCAAGATTCCGACCACCACAGTTGAAAGGTAGATAGTATAATGGCTCACTACCAGCTAGATCTAGCCGGTAGTGTGTCGATCTAGCCTTTTCTAGTCAGATCTATGATCAAAGATCTTTGGTCGTAGCTAGTCGTCAACGATAGCCATATCTTTGGCTATCGTTGACGACCAAACGCAGCTAGATCTGATCATCAATGGTCAAATCTAACTGTAGATCTGGCCTTTTTCGACTAGATCTACGATGGATCTAGCTGGAAAGACCATATCAATGTACGATCGGTCAAATCCAGTCGGTCATGCACCGATACAACAACTCAATCACCCTACGATGGTGGTGGCTGGCTACTAGTATTTAATGGGTAAGTGTGGGTGTTTTTATTAATTTTTAATATTTTATTACAGGGGTGTTTTCTAAATTAACAAACCTACGGGGTGTTTTTCTTAATTTTTAAATTCTACGTCGTAATAACCACCCAACCCTTACTTTTTCAAAAATCCTATCCAAAATAATAAAAACAAACACATCCATGAGAATGCGAAATCATAAAATCATTTAGAAAAAGAGTCTTTACAAAGTGCCATTTTTGTAAGGCCAAATTTCTTTTTTCCACCCGAGTTTTATTGAAACTACTTTGCCACCAATAAAAAACCATCAAATTCCACCCAACGTTAGTCTTCTTCTATTGATAATTTTCTTTGACCAGATGTGACCATTGAAATACCCTTATTACCCTTATAAATCCTGATTAAATAAATTAATAAACTACATTAGAACCCCAAGTTAATAAAATTAACAAAATAACGATATATATTTTAAATTTGCACCAACACCATCTTCTTCACCACTTTCATTGTCACCCCACAATACACAAAATCAAAACTTTTCACCATCAATCATCTCCAAACACATAAAAACCAAAACTTCACCTAATCTTTCGTTTCCAAATGAATTTCCGCACCAGTGAAAGCGTCAGGACGAAGACATACGTCAACCAAAGATACTTGGTTGACTCTAGGGAGAACCGAGTAGGATGAGTGCGTGATTCTTGGGAACCAACAAAGAAGACTCGACCCTCATGCGGTAGTGGTCAAGATGATGATGCGCCTCCTGGAGGATGATGTGAAAACTAGACGTTTTTAAAGTTGTTCGGTCGGAAAAATGAATAAAGCTTACGTCCACTAATATTTTATTCGATTGTATGATAATGGGATACAAAAGACAGGTTTTCCCCAGCGATCATGGAAAATCTTTGTTTTTTGGGAGAGTTTTCTGGACATGAAGCCTAGACCAGAGAAAGTTTGTTTTTGTTTGTTTTCTTTACTCTCTCTCCCACCCTCTCTCCTTGACCGTTGTTGCCTTTATAGAGAGAGAGGGCTTCAAAATGTCATGATGGTAAGTGCATCAGCCCCGGACACGCCCCCGTGCGGAGCGAACATCAGGCTCAGAAGCTCACATGCCCCTACGTCATAGCTAATGATGGCGTTTGCTCTAACAGCAAGTGTCTTTGCAGGTCTCATAGAAGAAATCAGCAAATGGTTGTGCTACATTGTTCAATCAGCGATAATAAAGCTTTCTCAACGTCAGCTAACGGCTGTCCGGCATGAAGCTTAAGCTGCCTCTTCTTCACAACAACAATGTTCTTCATACCTGATTTAACTTCATCATAAAGTTCCTGCAAAAGTTGAAGTTCTCATTTAGTGAGTCCAATCCTAACAATACTCATGTAAGTCTACAAGAAGGTCTGAAGTTTAATTGAAATCAAGTTAGAATGCTTACTTTCACGGACAGAGGAACAATATCAGCACTAAAATCGCCTAGATCCTCAAAAAATGATTCGAGTAGACAACAAAAGTTATTAGCATCACCACGGTCCTCAAAAGCAACCGTATATGAAATCTCACTCTGGTGTTGCACCTGAGAAGTGAGTCTTAATGTAAAAAGGCCTCCATTTTTAATTGTCTCCAAGATGGTAAACACTAGTATATCTCTCATATGTTGTTTATACGTGTTTTTTTTTTTTAGTCTCTAAAGATGAAGTAAATTAAACAATTCCAGAGGCTAGAAGAAATGAAGAGTTTGGGTCGGTTTCACTGGTTCAAATGTCAGCCGAATTGTTGAAGGACAGACTGCCTGAGGCGAGAGAAGCAGCAAGAAGTACTGTAATTTCCATGTGCGATGCATTTACTGAAAATGAAGAGCAGAAGCAGGAAGCATGGCAATGCTTTTGCCAATCTAGTTTGCCACCCATTGATGCTCAGTCCATGCTCAAAACTACAGCTTCACAGTACAGTAAGGTTGGTGGTGGGCAGCTGCAGGAGTTCCGAAGTTTGTGTAAATCTTTCTGTCTCCATCATCATTGCGGTTAGAGCCTTAGAGGAGACGACGTTATGTTGTTGTCAATTTTCTACTTTTCGAGAAAGGAGGGAAAATGCTAAAATAAATTATTAGATTCTTGAATGATTAATTTTACAAGTTGCTTCAATAATATCGATTAGTGGGAGGAGCAGCAGAAACTGCTGTAACATCCTGTTCTTACCTCCAACATTCCAAGAAATGAACTTCAGTTCATTTTGTTTTCAGCCAGGACATCATTATGATTTCAGCAACATCAATAAAGAATTGTAATTGTCAATTACAGTGGGCGGACTGGAGAGTTTAGGCTATTTCTCCCAAATAAACCTAGACTTGTCTGCAAAATTGTGATTTCAGCCAGGACAACAACGTGCTAGCAAATAATGTTCTCTTGTGTACACGGCACAAGCCATAAAGAAATCAGTAAATGGTTGTGCTACCTTGTTCAATCAGCGAGAAAAAGCTTTCTCGACATCAGCTAATGGTTGTCCGGCATAAAGCTTAAGCTGCCTCTTCCTTCACAACAACAATGTTCTTCATACCTGATTTAACTTCATCATAAAGTTCCTGCAAAAGTTGAAGTTCTCATTTAGTGAGTCCAATCCTAACAATACTCATGTAAGTCTACAAGAAGGTCTGAAGTTTAATTGAAATCAAGTTAGAATGCTTACTTTCACGGACAGAGGAACAATATCAGCACTAAAATCGCCTAGATCCTCAAAAAATGATTCGAGTAGACAACAAAAGTTATTAGCATCACCACGGTCCTCAAAAGCAACCGTATATGAAATCTCACTCTGGTGTTGCACCTGAGACGTGAGTCTTAATGTAAAAAAGCCTCCTGGACCTTCATGGTCCAAACCTCTACGCATAAGAATAGCCTGCAATTGAATAAATGACAGCATGATGCTTAGAGAAATTGAAAGACACTTCTCCCAAACACAGAACAAACATTACAAAGTACACACAAAACAGCATCAGCAAACATCTATGGTTAGTATAGAACCTACATTAATATCTGCTGCTTGCCAATAAATGCTTGACGCATAAGCCAAGATCTAGACTCAGAAATACGAAAGGGTGCTTTTCATTACATTTTACGGTTAACAAGATCGAGATGAAACATATAAGATGCAAAATTTATGAATCTAGAAAGGAAAATGAGGGCATAGTCATATTGAATGGCCAAAAGATACCTCTAATATAGGCATAAAAGTCATCTTGCGGCAATCATCCATGAATTTATACTCGAGAAAATGATTAACACAGAACAAATATTACAAAGTACCACGGTTTGATTAGGCTTATGCACATATATAGAAAATGGCATGAATTTCAAAGCCTAAATGAAAACCAACAAGTCATGTGTAACTGAGAAAGAATGGTTTATGCAACTGATAAAAAATATAGTGCCACGGTTTATGCAATCGATAAGAAATAAAAAATGCCACAAGGGAAGAATTTACAAGTTTCAATAATGTACCAAGACGTAAGGAAGCTTCAGCCACCACAAATCAGACTTGATATCTGATTGATCACCCCTGACTATGTTCGCTGATGAACCATTTCCACCCAACCGAGAATCTTCATCAAATTTCATGGTAGTTTCCTGCTTTCCTTTTGCGAGGTTCTGCACCTTTAGTGCCTCTATATCTTTTGTTTCTCTAGACTTCATAACTTCAACCAAAGACCCTCTTTGACTCTTCTCCAGGCCAGTATCTAAAAGATTAAATTAAAAAAAAAAAAAAAAAAAAAAAAAGTTTATATATGCAGATAAATAAGAGTACTATCAAATTATTATACTTCCCCTATTTTCATTTTTGCTTTTTCCATGATCGTTCCTACCATAAATTCAGTAAACCAAATAATCTTTTTGGTCATTCAGAATGACTGAATAAAAAAAACCTTGATAATTAAGGTAACAGATTTGCAGAGTTCACCAACATTAAGAAAACAGTTCAGTATTTTTACAAAATAGACTCTTAGGAACATTACCAAACCTCTTGTCAATGTTCCCGACTCCCATTTCTTTTAGCCTCTTCTCCAGGTTTTCTGCTTTATTTTGCAAGCCTTTTGACCCTCTATTTGATGCTTCGGTTCCATTCTTCTCTCCTTCCATAGTCCCCGACATGCTTTCCCCTGAATCATGATTTGTACTTGCTATACCACTCTTCTTCTTCTTCTTTTTCTTATACTTTGAACTATCCTCCATACCTGAAAATCCCTTTGCATCACTTCTCAAACTCGTAGGACTCCTAAACTTAAATTTTTTCTTAAACATTAATTTCTCATTACTCTCATCCATCTCTTTTGCTTCTTCAACACCCTTAAACTCGTTCAAAATGTTCATATATGATCCGGGTGACTTCCCTTTTCTAGAATTCAACTTCTTCTCCAACTTAGACAATCATGAGCCAATCTCTTTTTCAATGCCTGTTCTACTCTTAGAATTCACAAATTCATCAAGAATGTCACCTTTTTCGTTATCAGCTCCCCGTGCCTTGCCTTCAATCTTTCGCACTTCTCTGGCCATTGCCCTAATTTCATTAATTTTATATTCTAACTCGGTTTCATCCAAATCAACCACGTTTTTATCTACCAAAAAGCTCCCTTTTTTTATTCTATTAATACCCCTATCTAAAGCATCCAAATTCTTGTTTTCCTCGTCGGAATTTGAATTTCCCAGAAAACAAACACTACAAATTGTTTGTAACATCAAAACCCCAACCAAACCCATGCCAACTTTCAGGACAGACATTGCAGACAATTTACCTAAACTGCCACTGTAGTCTCCAGCAACACCCTCGGTCTCCGTGACCTGAATTTCCTCGACTTCATCAACGGCAGGGACAACTCCGACGAGTTCGTCGAGTTGAGGCTCGGAAAAGGTGTCGTTTTGAGGCGGTAATACAATAGGGATTACGGGCTCTATTGGATATGGTTTTGTTAGGGTTTTGAGGATTTTGGGGCGCAAGTGATTTTTCCGCTTCGTGAGTTTTTTTGGAGGGCGTGGACTGGAGATGGAAGAAGAAAGAAGTGGTTTTAGTAATTTTGGGGTGGTGTTAGTAAGTGATGTAAGAACGGAGAAGGCGGCGCAGTGCGCACCAGCCATTGCTAACGAAGGGAGGTGGCGGGGTGGTGCGCGGCCTTTTACTTCAGTTTTCGGGTGGGAATTTTAGAGAAAGCTTTTACTCGTGCTAACATACGCCGGGTGTTAACGTTGTGATTGGGGAAGATTACGAAAGCCCATTAAGTGTATGGGCCAAAAGGCCCAACCCAAAAATAACCCATGGATGATCCAGGATTTTAGGGGCGTATACAAGCTAAGCCTAGCCGAGTATCTAAACACTTGAGCTCGGTTTGTGATGAACAATGTCGAGTTCAAGCCGAGCTCGCTTAAGTTTGAATACTTGGGCTGGAGCTCAAGCTCGCTGCTATGGATGGGTACTTGAGTTCGTGCTCGAGTGATCGAGCTCGAGCTTTGAGTTTACTATAAGAAATGGGTTATTTGTCATTTTAAAAACTTGAAAATAAAAAAAAAAAATTACAAAACTTTCAATCTGGCCCTCCGAGCGGGATGAGACTCATGAGTCTATTGAGCCGAGCTTTACTTGGATCGAACTTAGTTCGACTCCTTAAATGAGCCACTCGAGTGCAAGCTCGACTCGATTGATTTCGAATTGAGTTTGAGTTTTTCACAAGCCGAGCTCGAATAGCTCACGAACTGCCCAACTCGCTTCTCATTCCTATCCGACATCAAGTTTTTCTTCTTCACAATACCCATGCTTAATGTCTCACATAGATCTACTTAACTGTTTAATTCATATTACATAGTTCATGAATTCAAAAAAATATGATGAATATTAAAAATAGAAGAATCAAAATAAATAAATTATAATATTAAAGTAATTCTCTCCATATAAAAAATTGCCGGTTGATTGAAAAGCACAGTGACTCTATACATTGATCGGGCGGCTCATGCAGCATCATCATGATGATAAAAGGATAAAAGTCTGCCAAAGGGATTGCTCCAGTGGCCTGTAGTCATGCCAATTATCACATGTACTCTGAGTTTTCGAAGTCCCACATTGCTCAAGGGCAAGCAAGACAGGAAACGGGTGAAGTATAAATTGGAAGCTGAGGGGCCATTCTAAGCATACCTTTCTCGGCCTTTTGGCTAAGACCAAGTGTAGTATCTGTTCTTATCAGTTTAATATCTGATACGTGGGCCATCGGTCCACATGATATTAAATTAATTTTTTCAGGGAGGGAGCCCACCACGGTAGCTTGCTATCGGGGCTCTCGAGCGTCGCCCATGCGTTGCACTACTGCAAGGGCCTGGCGCATCCCGCCAATTCCAGTTCTTAATTTTATTGATTCAAATCTTCTTTACCAATGAGCATGGATCGTCAGTGCCCATTCCAACTTATTTTGTTAACATGGATGTGTAATGCTGATATCATCTCAATTAAGTCATCTACATAATCATTAAATAGAGAATTATCAAATATTGTCATTTATATATAATCTAGTGTGAGCGAAGTGAAAACGTTTTTATGCTCAAATTCACAGGAGCTGTTAGATTTAGATTAGATGAAAGTGGTTAATTTATCTCATTTTAAGTCAATAATGGGTATTGTAATAATCCGACCCATTATCTAAATAGAGGAAAATTATGCACGGTTGAAGCAAAACTTCCATGATTTTGTAGTAGTGTGGCTCCAAATCGGTGAAACAAACAATTGGTAATTGACACAAAAATACCGAAAGATCAATTCGTTAGACAAACATTTGGTAGTTGGCAGGGAAATATCTGGAAAAAACAATTTAATAAAGAAACATTTGGTAAATTGAAATAACGCGGTGCTAGAAGCATTTGTTTTTTTATTGGGTTTATAGGGGTATTTAATAGAACTTAAGAATTAATTGAAATACGTACAAATATCTTGTGATTCACAGTGTAAAGCCTTCAAATTTAAAAAAAAAAATGGAAATCAATTCATGAACTGAGCCGAGATGCCTTGGAAGTGGCTAAAGACAGAGGCAAACCAAACTACATAAACCTTGTGGAAATCGTGGATATTTCAACTGCCATGAGGAAGTGTTTTGTTCATTGGGACAATCAGATTTATGTTTGGTGTTATCAATATAACCGTGTCTTATTCTCTCACAAACAGCCGAACACAAAACCCCACGAAGCCTCAAAACGGGTTATCTCTGACCCAAACCTCAATTCAACAGGTCTCCATGATTCATGCAAGTGGTTTGTGGCTCTCTCACTTGCCACACCAACGTTCAATCTCTACTAACCAAACACAAACAGAGGAGGGTAAAATAAAAATTTTATTATTGAAATTCTATTTTAGTAAAAGACATTGTTATGGCTATTGATTAAAATTTGCTTAAATTGACTTTATAATTGTTGCTGTAGACAAAAATTTACATAAATTAACTATATAAAAGAAAAGTTACTATTAAAAGTTGTGCACCGGTGAAGCTAGGGATGGCAATTTATGGGTTATAAGGTCACCCACCCCAACCCAAAAATACCCATCCCAGCCTATTTTGAATGAATTTATTGTATTGTTATTATGGACGTGTAATATAATCATCATAATATAGAAGTCTGCCAAAGGGGTTGTTCCAGTGGCCTCTAGTCATGTCAATTATCAGATGTCCTCTTAGAGATGGCAATGGACCCGGTAGTACCCAACCCAACCCAAAAAGGCCAGATTTTATCCAGTGTTTGCAGGCTTAGGCCTAATTTTAAGGCCCGACCTCGGATACTGGCTGGGTCAGGCTTGGGTATGCCTTCAAGCCCAATCCGACAATTTTAGTATTAATTTTCATAAATTATCTTTATATTGTATATTTAATTACAAGATTATCCTAAATATATATACCCATTTTTCTCAAACCTTAATCTCATCCCATTTGATGAGTATTCAAAAATAAATTAATATTTTTAAAAACTATTTTTAGAATTAAAAATATAAAAAAATTGAAATTTATTAATATTTAAAAATTGAAATTATAAAAATGGACAAGCTCGGGCCGGACCTGAGGTTACAAAAACCCCATTGAACCGGGCTTGGACTTTACATATTACACCTGTGATAGGCCCGAGCCGGTTTTGGGCCTTTGTCATGAGATCGGGCTTGGGCTTGGGCCAAGGAGTACCCAATCTCGGCCCCGTCCATTGCCATCACTATGACAGTGCTCTGAGTTTTCGAAGTCCCACATTGCTCAAGGGAAAGCAAGGCAGGAAGCGAGTTGACTATAAACAGGAAGTAATGTATGATTAGCAGCAGCGCGCTCCGCGCTTACTGCATTTCCTAGTTCGTTATTTTTGTCCCTCTACTGAGAGTTTTCCTTCATTGTTGAATTTGTGGTGAAATGGGAATGACACTGTAGGAAGTAATTATTTTGCATTTTTGAAATGGGAAGATAGTGACGCCATTTGTTTAAATGGTAGACACACGCGCGTACTCACAAGGGTTTCTATAACTCTAAATTTGTTATTTTAAAAAAGATATAAAATGTTTCATTAAAGATGTAAATTAAATATTAAATATTATCAATAAAACAAATAATAGTTGTTTATGTTATTTAATAAAAATAAAAACATTAATTTTGATTCAAATATAAATTTCATGCAAAAGAAAAAAATAGATTTTTTTTTTTTTTTTAAAACAAAAGTATTACACTTAGGTTTCCTAAAACTAAAACTTCTAATTTTTCCAACTGGATGGCCAATGGCTGGAAATGGGGTTTACGGGAACTGCCCTTTATGTTTTCACTTAGTATGTTTTCACCCTACAAGAAACACTGACTATTTTTGAGGCCCTTTATGTTTTCACTTAACCCCTTTTTACCCTTCAAGAAACTTTTCTCGTCTGAAAGAATCAGTGGCCAATAAATGGATCCTCAGTCGCGTGCTCAGGTCCATGACATCCTACTTATAGTAAATGCAGTGATACCTTATACGGCGGCCAAAAGGATTGAACAAATTCTTGGGACTCTCGGCTATCACCGCGGAGCCGATGAAGTTGATGAAGTGATAGTTAGGTTCCACCAGAATAACAACGTGGATATTACATTGCTGGAACTCAGTTTCGTTCTTGAAGATAAGCTCTTGAACCAGGACTTTCCAGGCATCAATATGGCTGACATACCAGATTTGCTTGCCCAAGTAGAACCCTTGCTTCAGAGGCCAGTACGGGCAGCCAGAATTTATGCTCTTTCTTATCGTGTTAGAAATATACTAAGAACCTTTGGGTTTAGGTTCCGGATTCAAGATACGATAGAAAGACTGAAAGCAGGTATCATCACCGTTGAGGAAGCTCTTTTTGAACTGAACGGGCTTCTTTAATTTGGACAATGAGTTTTGACTCTTTTTTTTGTACATTGTAGGAATGGCTGATCGATAACGGATTTCGGTTTTTTACTCTCCTGTACGATATTCAGTTCTGGTAAATCTTCTTTGTCGTACTTCTTTAGTTCTTGTTGTGATCTAATGATTCCTCTGTACTAATTGTATAAATGAAATGATCGTTCTGAAACTTACACTAGTTTTGAATGGCTCCTCTATTATTGACTTTATTTATTTTTCTTAAATCACGCATCACTTAGCAATCTAATTAAATTTGTCTAAAATTTGGATTTGACCAATTCACAAATTACATGTCTTTGACAATTTTAATAGATTACCGCTTATTGTTGTTGGATAAACTCCAATCGTCATTAATAATTTATAAGTTCCAGTTTGATTATATTTTTGTAGAATAGTAATGTTGTTGATGCGTGGTTTTGACACTAACGAAAAGCACGTATGAAATGTTGAGTTGGCCCCCAAAAGACACACGTGAATGGTTTGGAAAAATGAAAGTAAATGCAGTGAGAAAAGAGTTTTAAAATGGTTTGGATGCTAAGGAAGTAAATCTTACGTCCACTGATATTTCTATTAATGATAATGGTCAGGTCGCTTTAGACGACTGACTTTACACTGATGATATAAGGTATCAAAGACTGTCTTTGATAGAGAGAGAGAGAGAGTTTGTCAAGAGTAAAATGTGCGAATCCCCTTAATGAGAGAGGAGCTCCCATTTTATA